TCTAAGAAGTGCAACAGATTGCTGAGACAGGATTTTCCCTTCAGAAACCCATGCTGTACCAATTAGGTTTCGTTCAGTCCAGTTCTCACAGGACGAATTATGGCTCTTCCCGACCGCGCGTCCAGGTCCTTGTGTTGTCCGTGGTTTTGTTGGCTTCCAACACTTCGAGTCAATAGGGTTTTGTGAAAGGCAGAATGTTAGTGTGTAGTATCAGTTCCCTTACAATGTTTCGGGGAGTAAAGCCTGAGGATTAACTTTCAACATTCAACTTCGAGAAATACAACTGCCCATCATTCATCTAGACCTCTCTTGAAAGATTGGACACAGTTAACCACCGCCCCAGGTAATTTATTCCTCAGTGCTATAACCCTGCTTGTGAAGAACTTGGTCGTGGATTTATTCTACAATGACTCTTTTCAAATCTAAGTTAATGCCCCCTACCCTTGGCAGGGAAAAACGAGAAAAGGTTTTCGAACTTTATACCCGAAATCTTACACCCGACAATCTTAAATGTCTCTATTAGATTGCGCCGCATGCAGAGAGAACAGGGCCAGATCCCTCAGATGTTGGAGGTTTCCCCTAACTTTCCGGCCTGCTACCGTTCTGGTTGCTAACCGATCTACATTCTCAAGACACCGTTCATCCTGTTTAAAATAAGGCACTCATGTTTGAACGCAATATTCTTAATGAAGATCCACTATAGTTTCGCTCAGTTTGCACAGGACAGAAAATAACCACGGCCAATGGGGCGTCCAGATTCCTCTCGGTGGTATACCATCATGTATGACACCCACCACTGCGAAAATAAGTCACACTATTAGTCAACACTATTTTGACTTTTCAACGCCATTCCCAATGATTCATGTAAAGACCGTATTTTGTTTTCTTGCCCTCTGTTACAAGATTGCATATGACCTCGAATATGACACAATTTCCAGTGAGATGTATCGTGGGCTTGGCTCTCTGTACATCTTCCCGCTGCACCATTGCACCACTAACGCTCGTACCCGACTTTGTTTTCAACCCGGTCTCCCCTTGGGAAACCTCGTGATACGCCCAATCGATAATATTAGTGAACGCGTCGTTCCTCAGCCCGTAGTAAGTGCTAAGTTAGTGAGCCCAACGTNCCAACGTGATTTCGTTTAACCCGTTTTCTTTCAGCAATAAATTGGCTCAAAGTTTTCAGTGAGTTTGGTGCTCCAGCAAAAAATCTTTTTCATTTTTTGTATTTGGCGTATACTGATATTGTTTCTTTTCATTTTTTTAACGGTTTAACCATATTTGTAAACTTTTTTTACCGTTAAACAAATGTTTGCTTACAAAGTCCTACATACTCTTATATTTGCACTTCGTAGGTACTTACATCATCAGATACTTATTTTACTCATTCGTTTATAGTACACCTGTACCCCGAGGTTCACTGTTGTTCGGGCATCCTTCTTTCAATTTGATTATTCATTTTTTCCCTTGGATTCACATCTGAGTCATAATGTTTAATCAATTTTCTGAGGGTAAAGACAACGGCGATATATCTGCGGCGCACGAAACGAACTACAAGGTCATATACCCGAATTTATACCCAAGGACCCAGAGGATTGGCTGGCCCAGGTCGAGGCCCAGTTTAAAGTAGTTAGGGTGACCAATAAATCAGCTAAGTTTACTCAGTTAGTAGGTCACCTTCCAAGGCCTATGACACTGGGTCTTCGCGACATCGCATGCAATCCACCACAAGACCGACCGTATGATGCCCTCTGCGATGCAATTCTATGCAGATTTGGTATATCCGTAGAATACCGCCTCAAACAGGTCAGGTCAGGTTGCACAGGACGGTAAAGGCTTTTGCCTATCGAGCGTCCAGATTCT